AGCCGGCCCTCGGCGGCGTGGGGTGCTTGCCCGAGTTGCCGTCGGTAGTCCCCCGCCCCGCGGAAGAGAAGAGGGCGCTCAGAAAATGATTGGCTTTCCAGCAGGGGAGGATGAAGGGGTTCTACCCTCTCTCACCACCTACCCCGCTCCCTGTACGGTTACCCGAACGCCCTGTGTCACGAACTTCTGCAGGGAAAACCGGGTCCCTCGTCGTCCGGGCGGCGACGGGCTGCCCCGAGCACGGCCGCCGTTCTGCCGGGCACGGCGCGACTGCTCTGCGGGAAGCAATCCTTACGAATAAGGCTGACGGGGGCGGACAGTGGTGAAATCGCTGCCCCCCACCCCTAGGGGTGGGTAGAAGAACAGAGAAAAAGATAAAAGTTCTCTAAGGGGGTGATGAGGCAGAGGCAGGAACTGAACCCACATTTCCGGACTCCCCACGTTGCTGCCAGCGGCGCAGGCCAAGCTGCCTTTTTCGGCTGTGAGAAGCGTTGCTTTACCATTCGTTCTGCATTGTGGGTGACCTGTGCCTGGAAATCGCTACGGGCTTCCTTGCTTCGGCTTAGCCCTTACACGTGTTCCCCAGAGTGCTTGTGCGTGCTTTCCCAGGTACATCGGTCTGCACACGCTCGTGCATATGAATTGGTATATGTAGGTATAACGGCTTTAATTACATCTGTTAGTGCTATATTGCTCTTTATTTTCTTTATTGAAAGACCAGTAAGCTTTTAAAACATTAGCTTCATCCTGACATAGGTCAAGAATAGCCTCTCCCCTTGTACCTGGGAAACTAAAGCACAAGGAGATTTGGTAATTTGTTCAAATTCTGTGGAAAAGCCCAAAACATCCGATGAGGGTACCCCATTTCCCTTTTGTTGGTGTCTTTATTTCTAAACAACTGCAGTAGCTCCAAATAACGTACAGGATCTGCATATCTGAAAATGTCTTTTACTGCTGGATGGCTCAAAAGAAGGTTTGATATTCCCATGTCACACACCCAGGGTGAGATGAAGAGTACAAGATACTTGCAGTCATTTCTCATATCTCAGGCCCTTCGACACAAAAAGCGTTGCCTGCAGGCGGAGCTGACCAGTGACATGGCTTCTCGATCAGCGTTTTTGTTGTTATCTTTGTGTAGGAAGTCACGACTACGGTGGGTATTTCCATTGTACCAAGTCC